GGTAGCTGAGGTGCTCGGTCCAGACCTCAGTTTCATGGCTAGGGTAAAACCCAGACCTGCAGGCTACTCTCGGAAAACTGACAACAGTCCCCCCTGGAACTTCATGACCAAAGGCAGTAGAGGAAAGACATTTGCTAGGCAACTATTCCTTGGCTGAGTGAGCACCCACTTCCTCCACCAATGGGTGAGGGTATCATGAGAGGCACCTTGTAAAAGGATGGCAATGCAAACAGCATCAACTGAGGGAGGCTCGATACTTGAGTGATATGGACAGATCTTTTCGATTAAAGACCCATTCATTGGGAACCAAAAACACCTGGCGCCACAGTCCCTTTTGCCATCCTGGGCACCTGCAGCCTCTGCTGTTATGTTTCCTTTATTTCCAAATACATGACACTGAACCTGTGCTAACTTCATGCAGAATAACCAGTCAAGCTTGAATGTAAAGTGACAACGCACATAGTAACTGCAGGTGGCAATCCGTCCTGTAGAACAGGCATCAAAGGTGACAATAGTCAGAGATAATGAACCTACTATACGGGATCCCGTGATCCCCCTGTCACACCCATAACCAGAGACTCCTGCATATCTGAGGAGAAGCACTTTGAATCAACTCAAGTGCCGACTTCTGTGTTGCAAAAAGGAAATTCTTTGTAATGAGCAAAGAATCCAGGGTGCCCAGGGTAGCATAGGGATGCAAGACATCATCGTTTCCAGGAGACCCCTGAATTGGGAAGCTTGACAAAACCGACAAAGATACTACATTCCAAAGATGATCCCTGCTAATTTGTCCTATTCTGAGAAGGAGCAGAAAAGTACTCACTTGAGCATTGAACTGGGCTTCCGTATTGATGACTAGATGGGTCTGCTCCCACTGTTTTGACACCTCCAATCCAGCCAAAACTGCTCAGGCTGGCCGGATGAAGTACAAAAGGGATAACAGGCGCATGGTGTGGCAGTCCATGTATGTTTGATGAGTTCCAAATGGGCAGGGGTGAAGGTAGTCCAGTAGGCACAAGCTGCGTAGGAGCGAAGCATAACTCTGCAGGAGGGAAACAAAGAAACACAGCATCTCTAAGTGTGTACTGCGAAGGTCTTTAACCACTTCCTGTCTGGACACTTTTACCCCCTTCCTGTCCAGGGCAATTTTCAGCTTTCAGCGCTATCACACTTTGAATGACAATTGCGCGGTCATGCAATACTGTACCCATATGAATTTTTTACCATTTTTTTGAGACAGATAAAGCTTTATTTTGGTGGTATTTATTCACCGCTGGGATTTTTATTTTTTTTACTATGTAAATGAAAAAGTCCAAAAATTTTGAAAAAAAGTGTTTTTTTTTATAAAATTTTGCAAATAAATAATATTTCATCCTAAATCTTGGCCAAAATTTATTCCGTTATCTTTTTAGTAAAAAAAAAAAATCCAAATTAGTTTATAACCAAACATTATAATTTTTAAACATTTTTTTTTTACATTTTTATTTTATTTTTTTTAATATTATTTTTTATTTTTATTTTTTATTTTTACATACTGTCACCCTAGCAGTACAGTACCATGGTGACACTGTACTACTTGTGGGGGGTGATGAAGATTTTTTTTTTTTTTTTTTTACACTGATTGCTTTTACACCCATATAGGATGTAAAAGCAATCATTTCTCTTTCTCTCTCTGTCTGCATTCTTGCAGTCATTGAGAAATACTGAGTGAGCTGTGATTGGTCACAGCTTGTCACATGGTACAAGGCTGTTGTGAATAGCCTTGTACCATGTGACCTCTGTGATCATTCACAGATTTCACACGTAGTAAGCAATGATGTCACAAGTGACATCTTGCTTACTACTTTGCATGTGATCACTGATTCGCCAATCAGTGATCACATGACCGGGACCTCGTACAGAGGTCCTGTCCGACGATCGGTGTTTCACTGTGTCCGGAGGACACGGATCGCGGTGGTGCGCGCTCCTAGGGAGCGCGCACAGCTAGAAAAGGCGGGTGCCGTTTAGGAACGGCAACCCGACCTTGGACTGCCACCGCCCTGCCGTTTATAAACAGCAGGCGGACGGCAAGAGGTTAATAGAAAGATAAGTAGTAACTCACATCTTAGAATTTAAAAAAAGGCTCATGGGTAAGAGGGTGAGATGTCTGTAGCCAGATGTTGTTGTGTGACTGATCCAGAGAGAGATCGACTGAGTCCGCCAGCAGGTAGTATAGTGCATGTGCTGTGTTTCTTTGTTGGCTGGATGAAATACCCTTTTGAACTAGTAAGTGATCTGGGCTCTGGGCCAAAAGTAGAATACCATCCAAGTAGTGATGGATGCAAAGCACCCCATTTCCTCAGAGGGGCTACACAGAGATTAGGGCCTACGCAAAGGTCATCTGTGGGGTGGAGAGCTATGAAGGAAGGTATTTAAACTGGAGATGTCAATCCCCCACTGAGACTCAGTTTCTTTAAACTTAGCAGTTGAATCTTCAGTCTTCTCCGTAGAGACACCGAAGAGAATAAAGTCTGTGAGGGAGAACTTCGAATCAATGCCCTTTGCAGTCATATTATTGATGTACAGAAAAGGACATCTACCTCTGTAGCAGAAAATTTTACTTTGGTCTGGATGAAGAATAATTCTAGAGGGGCGATGTCCTGACCCACCAAAAGTAACACGTTTTATCATAAAAGGTACCCACAGATCCCAAAAATGGGCTTTACTATCTGTGCCCCGAATCAACCACACTAGCCTGGGGGGGTCCTCTCAACAAAACTCCTGTAGGGGTTGAAAGGAACAAAATGGATCATGGCTGTTCTTTCTTCAGAAAGGTGCCTTTGCACACTCTTCTACCAGCTCTTGAAGTTTCTAATTCTGGCAAAATAGTCTTGAGTCTTGAAATGTAAAGTGGGTCAAACTAGCCGAGAGCTCTCACCTGAGCCTTGACCTCCTATGAAGAGGAAGGCAAAACTAACCATTGACAGCTCTTGAAATAGCGCTTAGCATAGGGATGCTGATTAGTATACAGAGCTGCCTGTCAAACATGAGAATTAGGGCTTGTTTGCATGTGCAGATAACAGCCGCTTCTCTGAAAAGTGATCCCACGTAGTCGCTTTTCATAGGGTATTTAGCAGTTAGTTTAGTATTGTCCATATCTTTTCAGTGGAGTGCAGTGCTGTAATGTGTGTTACTGCAATGCATGTTAAGTGCATTAGCATGTGGCAGTGCCATTATCTTCAACAGAGAAGTGGTGTTTTTCCTCCTGGATAGGGTATAATTTTGCAGATGCTTACTAATGAAAAACTTCATACCACTGTTGCCACTCCTCTTGAACCATCGGGTTGAATGGAAGGCTGTGCCTTGAAAATGTGAAGTATGTTCTGAATTTGAAAGGCAGTCATCTGGGTCATCCTGTTCTGTGCCTTCTACCCTAATGAATGACTGGACCCAAGAGACACTTGAACTCTGCTTAGCCTTTTCAAGGAGGATGATTGACCTTCTTCTTCCTCTGGTGAAGCCAGGTGCAAGGCAGAAGTGAATGGCTTGGATAAAGGTGCCTCCAGAGCCAGAAATAAAGATGGCGATGATGGACTTCGGGCCTCCTTGGTAAGGAGGGCTGTGGTGCCCTATACTCTTTTGCAGGGCTGCATTCTTGATGTTGTGCCTGGAGTCTGCTGGCTTAAGTGGTTGGAGAACTCACAGGGTCATTAACTATTTGTCCATGAAGGGCCATGACTTGCTGGCTCCCAGCCTCCTTTGTCCTTAGAGCGGTTTCAGCGGGAATATCATCAGACATGTTAGTCTGGTATTAGGTCCACACCGCAGGCTCAGCACTCTTTATCCTTTGTTACTCTTTGAACTCAGGGAAGCAGAGATGCCAACACTTACTTGGAACTTTGTGTGTATCCTGGGTGAGACCTGCAGGGCTGGAAGAGCCACTGGACTCATCATGCCATGACAATGCTATTTTAGCTTAACCTTAGGGCTAGATCACACTATAGAAACGCAGTCCAGATGCGTTCCTGATGCATTTTTGCATGAGCAGTCTTGATGCGTTCCGGTGCATTTTTGACGTGTTCCGGTGCGTTCTTTCCCCTCTCTTTTTCTTCAATTGAAATAGGGACAGTGCATGTTGGTGCATTTCAGTGCATTTTTTATGTGTTTTACCACGTTCCACTACAGTTCTGTGCAGAAAAAATGCAGCATGTTCTACTTCTTTTTCTGCAACTGGAACACACTGAAACTGCAAGCACTGATGTGAACTATGACATTGACAACCTTGTAACCTACTTTCTGTGTGCTTTGGATGTAGAAAAAAAAGCAACTGAAAAGCATGTAGTGTGAACTGGCCCTTAAACAAGAGCGAGAGCAGGCTGGGTTGTACCAGAAGATGAAGGCCACACTCATGGAAAGGCACTCTTTTTCCTCTTCTTATGTACCACACTGATGGTCTCTACCTGACCACACTGAAAATGGTAAGCAGGACAAAAAAGAGTAAAGCAAAGAGAGTCTATTTATGTGCTACCATATAATTGAAAATCATTGTCAAGGAAATAGCTGCCTACACTCTGTGGGGTTGATTTACTAAAGGCACACACGCTGTGCATGCTACAAGTGCACTGAAAGTTTAGTTGCTCTTGATCTGAAGGGTACATGCAAGGAAAATTAAAAAAACTGCATTCTTGCTTGCACATGATTGGATGAAAAAAATCAGCAGAGTTTCGCCTCATTTCATAGCTTCCCCTCAGATCTAAAGCAACTGTACTTGCAGGTGCACTTCAAGTGCACAGTATATTTAACTTTAGTAAATCAACCCCAGTGTGTCCCCACATGTAATGAAATAATAATATAAATTAGTGTGACGCTTATTTCAAAAAGTATTGAAAATTAACCCCTTGGGGTCAGCACCTCCAGGCCCTTTAAGGGGTTTGTGATGTTGGGAGGTGGGGTTTAGGGTCATGTGACTGCTGTGATTGGTTATCATGATGGTCACATGATCGGAAAGCTCACAACCGCAAGTAGCAATCGGGACCTTCCCGTGAGGTGCCGGTAAATGAGTCAGGAGCAGGGGCGGACTGACAATTTGGAAACTCGGGCACTGCCCGAGGGCCCGGGGTCAGTATGGGGCCCCATGAGATGCCCCTGGTACCTTTTTCATAGTCTTTTTTTTGAGTTTGGGCAAGGACACAGGAGCCCCATGATCCCATATTGCCCAGGGGCAACATGAGTTGTCAGTCCGCCCCTGGTCGGGAGAACGCAGGGCGCGAATGCTTGGCACATGTTTTGTTTACATTGTTTAAATATACAACCCCTCTATGCCAACGGCCATGCACCGAGAGGCCGCATATTTGCGTACGCTCAGCACCAAGAGTTAAATTATGTGTATCAATATACTATTATTATTATGTACTTCAAAAAACTAAAAAAAAAAACACTAATCAAATGTGTGTGTGTATATAATTATTATATTATATTATTTTTTCAAATCAGAAGAGGAGTATAATTAAAAGCGATAAATACATACTGTATATACAGTATATATAGTCACCAAGAGAGTAATAATCAATATAAGTAAGCTGTGCTCTCAAATAATATACAATATATAGGACAATAGCTGATAGTTTTCTCAAACATTCAAAAATGAAATATAATATATTATGCAACCTTCTAATTCTTGCTGGAGATTACAAAAAGTCCAGCCCTGCATAAACTGATATACCCTCCTATCCACATTGTGCTAAAGAAATAAAAACAAAATCTAAATGCATTAAAGCAATAAGTAACTTTATATCCTACTGTGTATTGCTCCTCAAATTTCAGTGATGTAAATTTATCCTAAAAAGATATAACAAAATAATAATAGTGCTATACCCTATTGGGTATTAATCACAAAACCACAGCACTGAAAAAACATCCAAAAACACCATTAATAAAAGATTACCCTACTGGGTGTTGCTCCCAAATTTAGTGCTACACAACACTAAATAAATAATGTAATAAAAAATACATATACCACATAGTAGGACAGAAAGAGAGCATGAATCTCCATACACTTTTTACAGCGTGAAGACAGAGGTTTCCCTCATATTATTACCTCTTCTGGTTGAATGTTCTTAGTTTATAGTATTAGGTTATTTTCTCTATTGGTCAAGTGTTTATTAATACTTCTGGTTAAATGTTCACTCTGCAAAAGGTAACAAATATAAACTGACATTACATATATATTACAAACTTCACACGTATTGTTTGTGACTTTTGCATAAATGCTTACGCATTCGCAATACACATTTCTTTATACATGAACTCCTATGTAAATGCATTTTTTTAGTTTATAGTGTTAGGTTATTTTCTCTATTGGTCAAGTGTTCATTAATACTGGCTAAATGCTCACTCTGCAAAAGGTAACAAATAGAAACTGACATTACTTATATATTACAGACATTACACGTATTGTTTGCAACTTTTGCATAAATGCTTACACCTTCGCAAGGCAAATTTTTTTTACATGAATCCCTATGTATATATTTTTAATGTCCTGTATATTTGTTATAAAAACAAAACTTTATTGTTTGGATTATTGTTATGATTAAGAAGCTTATATTTTTATTTTTGTACAAAATGTGTTTTCTTTGCTCCTAAAAATTAACAAAAACATGAATCTAGTGTGGGTACAGCGCTTAAAATCTTTAGTCTTTGTCTGCAGATATTTTCTGTGAAATTTCCTGTTTTCTCTTTACCCCAAACTCAGCACCAATCTCATAGTAATGCCTCAAGGAGGCTTCTCCCAGTTATGAGACAGTCGTCTGTGATGTTTTACAACTAAACATCCTATTACAGTGTGTGAACCAAAAAATGGATTCGTTTATTTCTAGCTAACAATGATGGTGGTCATGCTGAGCTTTGCTGATGTCAAAATAAAGGCAGTGAATACCGTATGTTGTAATTCAGCCTGCATGTTCAGCACTTTTTTACTTCATAAGCACAGCTATTTCAATTACTTTAAGAAAATACAAGGATAACCGATGTATTTCCATTTCCCCATGCAGCCTCATAACACTCTGCATAGGTTTTTGCAATCACTGGAATTCCCAGGAGAGCTTATCATTTAATTTTGATGTATGAGCCACTGAGAGATGATGTCACAAGGGTCACCACACATAAAGAATGTTTGCAGCATCTCAAAAAACATTAACCCCACCATGGGGCCACTCATTCTTCTTTATGTGTATCTGATTCATGTACGTGACCTTGTGGAAAAATATTAAAACTGATGGAGGGAAAAAAACTGGGAAGAACAGTAGCCTGATATCCCAAGAGCTTATTATACTGCACCTGCAAATAATTAATATAGAGCAAATTTGGGTTGACATGATAGAAGCACATTTCTTGAAAGGAGGTAAAAGCCAAGGAATATTCATTTTGTCCCCTGTAGCTTTCAGTGAGCAGAGCCAACATACACTGCATGACATTTGTTATTTGGTTAATGTAGAGAATGCTCCAAACTGAAGCAGTTGACCTTTTAGTTTTTCTCACAGGCTTGCTCAAAGTCACTTATAGCTGGTTTTATCCACTAATTAATGTTTTGCCTTAGCATCTCTTACCTCACAGGCATCTTGATTAGCTCTTTTCCCTCTGTAATATTAGCAAACGTCAAACTACACTTAATTCGTTTGTATGCAGTAGACTATTCAATAAAAGCAAGGGTTCAGGATCTAGTGTTCTTTATTTTTGTTCTGCATTTACTAATTCACACAAAGGCATCTGACAGACAGATAGAGCCTTTGAAGACTTAAAAAGTATCATCACTGATTACAAATCTGTGGTAAATCACAAACAGGACCAATTGTATTTAGTACTTATTCTTGTTCCGGTCCATTTGCAGTTGCTGAGCTAGCATAGTTGATAATACCCCTTTTTTTCCCAGTAGCTGCCTGCCCTTGCTTCTCAGAAGTAGACTAATATTGAATAAGGTCTGATTGACAGTGCTCATCTCTGGCAGCAGGTGCTTGATGGAGATGAGTGCTGTCATTCAAGTCGGCACTGGCAAGGCAGTGATCTATCTGTCCCTAGATGTCTCAGTTCACAGACACAGGGGGAATTGTTAAAATGCATCTGAGACAAGTTCTGTCTCCACTGGTTCTATCGCCTATGCATCCATTTAGCTTACGTCTTTTTCCACACTGCTTACAAAATGAAAATTCTTAAGCTATACCCTAAAGTTTGTCTCAGACACTTCATTTTCCTCCCCCGTAGTGCACAGCGCTGATCTGAGTTGCTCTGTGCAATGTAACCACTTCAATGGTGAATCACAGTTATCACAAATGTGAGCACATTATTCTTTACATTGTTGATGTCTCCACTTCCTCTTACAACAAAGAAAGGAGAGGAATCATATTAATTTATGGATGGAAAATTAATAGATTAGAGCAGCTGCCTGTTCAATGCTTTAACCCTTTAACACCCCCCCCCCCTTTCTCCTGTACATCTGATCTCCACCTTGTCCCTGTTTGTGACCTGTATATTAAACTCTTCATCTTCCTCATCCAGCAAATGGCATCCAGAGGCATAGATGAGCTCATCTATGAGGAACGATTAAATGATCTGAATGTATTCTCTCTTGAGAAAAGGCAATTAAGGGTGGATATGATCGCCATGTAGATTTCTATAAGTGGTCCGTATAGGGAACTTTGTGTGGAGCTATTCACTTTCAGATCATTACAGAGGACAAGGGGGCATCAGGAAAAGAGCCTTCTTCAAGAACTAGTTCTGGCTTGCTCAGTAGGTTGTTTTAAAAAGGGCTGAATGCATTTCTAAATACAAAAAATATAACTGAATATTAACATTTATAGGTAATAACACCATGGATCGTTGATCCAAGGAATATATGATTGCCTCTCGGGGCATTTGGAAGGATTTATTTTTTTTCACTGGAGCAAATTGGATCATGCTTTATTGCTTTCTATTGCCTTCTTCTGGATCAACTGTTGGTATATGGTGTTTTTTTCTGTTGGTTGAACTAGATGGACTTGTGTCATTTTTCAACCTGGCTAACCATGTAACTACTGTATATAATATCTCCGCATTAACTCCTTCATCTCAATCTTCCCATTGTATATGACCTGCTCTTTTGCCTCCCTCTGTGTATGATTTGTGCATTAAAGTATCTAGTGCAGTATTACCAAGCTCCATGTTTAACCACTTCAGCACCAGCAGGTTTCTCCATTTCCAAAAATGATGGAAAAAATGTGATCACCTTGGTATGTCTACTTTCCAAAAAGGGGTAATTTTGTTTCTTTTGTACTGTCCTAAATTTCATATTGTGTATGTTCTATAAAAGAAAATGAGGAAACCGTTTTTTTTTAACTCATGGCATTTTCTCATTTATAGTAAAAAATAAAAACCCCAGTTGTAAATAAATACCCTCAAAAGAAAGCTATATCTGTCTAAAAATAATATATATATATTTAATAATCTGGATACAGTATTGCTTGAGCAAGTAAGTCATACTCCCAGTCATACTATGACATCACAGAAAAATGGCTTGGTAATTACCAGGTATTACAAGCTAGTACTCAAGTGGCTAAACTAAACCTACCATTGAAAACTGAAACTGTAAATACTATATACTGAGTGTACAGTTGCAATTACATTTAATGTATATGTTTAATTACAGGATATTCTTGTCTAAGCAACGTAATAGCATGAACTGGTCTATAAATCTGCATGTGAACATACAGGGCTAGCTGGGGCACTGCACTGGTAATCATCATGTGCTTATTTCTTAGAAAGTGACTACAAATGTTTCTTTGTCGATAAATGGGCTATTCATAATTCAATGAATACGTATGAATATTTATACTTGTCTAACAATAGCAACTTCACAGACATATGTGAAAAGACACTTCACAGTTTTTTTAACAGTCTATGCAGCACTTGTAGCCATATACTGTGAGCATGCAGGCACAATATAGGGTTAGTATATATTTTTACACTCATAATTTTTTTTGTGTTAAAGTGTTTGTAAAGCCTTTCATATACCCAGTGAAGTGACTGGCCTCAGGTAATACACAGAGATTAAACAAATCCTCCTACAAAGGTTGTACCTGTTTATCTGCGTCCTTCACATACCATAAACAGAGCTGTGGCTGCCAATCACAGGCTGTGTGCTGGAGGTTCCTCTTGTCACCTTTTTTTTCCTCTTGGTGTCAAAAAAACATGTCAGAAGTAATATATGCTGATAGCACAGGAAAGAGGCAGCAGGCAGAGATGACACCTAGTGTTTGTAGCCTCCCTAGCGGTATGATTATATCAGTATTTCTGTGCTCAAAGCGGTA